TGACAAGTTGATGGCGTGCATACTATAAAAATATCACAATACGAAAAATTAATCATCAATAAGAGATTAGGTGTTTTATTAATTGATCGAATGCCCAAATAACGGATTTTGTTGGGAATACTACAAATATATATATTTTCATTCATCACTTTTAGAAAAAAAAAATGACGAAACTAGGGGAACCCTCAGCGAAGTTTACTATGTTCCTATGTGCCTTTTGTAACCTTTTGTGATTGGTAAGTTGCTGATCTGGAACAAAGTTTGAATTTTGAACATAAATGATCCCTTCCCTAAAGCCGAAGTCACACTAGGAGCACGATCGGTTGCCGACTTCTGACAACCCTAAACAGCTGCGACCGTCGACAATCAGTTTAGAATTGATAATATAGAGGAGGAGGGGAGCGTGGATGAGGAAAAATGTTATTAATGGAAGCGACAAGGATAATGGAAAATCCGCGTGCATTTCCAGTTAACAGATAACAGTTCGAAGCAGTAGGAAATGTAAATAGAATGAAAAAGGCGAGTATAGTACTTGACAAATGAGAGCAGAAATCTTTAATCAGTTTGAGAACTGTCGCTAACCGTTGGAAAATCAACACAAACTTTTCCATGACCAGTTTGGTCGACAAAAGGCTTTCGATGGAGCAGCGTAAACCTCTAGCCAGCGAAAATGCACCGGAGACCAATCGCCGACCACTGACAACCTTCAAAGACTGCAAAGAATCTCCTTGCTACCTCTGACAGCTAACTCCTGAATGACTAACTCCCGACCATGAGTTGTCGGGAGTCGGCCACCGGTCCTAACTCTAGTGAGACTTCGCCTTAATGGCCCAAATTCACAACGGAGGTTTGTCGACAAAGCTAGGTTAATGTGCGTCATAATTATGACGCGTTTCGATGCGTTTCAATGCGCTTAGATGCGTTTCAGACCAAGGTTCAGACAAACCATTGTCTAAAACGCGTCACATAACGCCTCAGTTTGTCTACAAACTTCCTTGTGAATTCGGGCCATTTAGGTTTATCACTTGGTATAGAATATATGAGTAACATCATAGCAAAATACTACAATTTCTCCTTAAAAAAGAGCGAATTTTAAGGGCTCCTGTGCATGTTAGAGAGTTGGTGTTCTTAATGGTTATACTTACATTCAGTCTCACAATTAAATCCGGTATATCCTGTAGGACACCGACACAAGTATTCTGCTCTTTTCTTCCATAACCTTCTCCGCCTTCTCCGTCTTCATATTCTTCTTCTTTTTCCTCTATTCCCTTTTATTTTTCATTATTGTTAGTAATATAAAAGCAATATAAAACAAACTGTTATATTATTCCAAATGGAAAGACAAGACGACGAAAAAGAACAATATTACCACCACCCGAATACCAGCACCACAACCACAACCACCACATCACCTACAGAGGCCTAATCACACTGAGGTCCCTGCAATGAATCACCTTTAGAGCAAAAGAACTTCACGACGAATATGCTGGAAGTTACATGTTTATGCAATAACAGAACTACCATTCATTGTAGGTCTTCCATAACAAGGGAAACTGGGTATTGCTTGAGCCTCTTGTAAGCGGCCAAGATGAGCAGAAGATTAGAACCTCTACTGTCACCGAATCCACCACCACTACATCACTACAATCAACACTAACAATACCAATACCCCCACAGCCGCCACCTACAGCTGCCACCGTCAGCATCACGAACCGTGAGTGTTGATCTTTTGTAAACGTCATCTCATTCGTTGAATTAAGTTGATTAACAATCTTCATATACTTAAGAAGGATAGTCCTCAAGAGTATTGGTAAATTTTGGATGGACCGAAGCGTAGCTCTTGTCCAGCCAAGGTCTCTTTAGATGATTTTGTGCATCATTTTAGTAGTTTGAATAATGTGCAATGTGCAGCATCTGAAACACATTATGTGGATTTTGACCAGTCAATGGGCAATGTTGAGCTGAATGCCCCTATCTCGGTTGATGAAGTTATAAAGATTATCCAGAAACTAAAGAATAATAAGGCATGTGGTGTAGATTTGGTTAGAAATGAGTTTTTGAAAAATTGTTCAGCAGCTGTAATTGGTTGTATTACTGCTTTTTTTAATGTAATACTGGAGAGTGGTCTAGTACCAAAAGACTGGTGTCTAGGTAGTATAGTCCCTATTTTCAAAAATAGAGGAAAGGATACAGATCCCGATAACTATCGTGGGATAACACTTTTAAGCTGTTTGGGAAAATTGTTTACTTCCATCTTGAATTATAGGATAACAATTTATTTCGAAAATGAATGCAAGCTTGGAGAAGAACAGGCTGGCTTTCGTGCTGGCTATTCTACAACAGACCATATTTTTGTTTTGAAATCCCTGCTTGACATTTACTTGTCTAAACGGAAGAGAATTTACTGCGCTTTTATAGACTATAGAAAAGCTTTTGATATGGTTGATAGGGTTTCACTTTGGCACAAATTATTGAGGTCAGGGGTGGATGGTAAGGTGTTCACAGTTATTAAGAATATGTATTCTCAAGCAAAATCGTGCGTGATAGTAGATGGTCAAATGTCTGAGGCTTTTCAATGCGATGTTGGTGTTAGGCAGGGTGAAAACTTATCACCACTGCTCTTTGCAATATATCTTAATGATTTCGAGGATTTTCTCAGTAAACACTTTAAAGGTCTCAAATTTTTAGTTGAAAATGTATGTGCTGACATTTTAGATAAAGAAGTAAACAAAGATCTTTTCTTACAATTATACACATTGTTGTACGCAGATGACACCCTAATATTGGCTGACACAGCAGAGGAATTGCAAGTGGCTTTGAATGCCTTGTCTCAATATTGTAAAATTTGGAAGTTAAGTGTTAATGCTATGAAAACTAAAGTACTTATATTTTCAAGAGGCAAAGTACGTAAATTTCCAGTTTTCAGATTTGGAGAAGATGAAATTGATGTTGTGGATGATTTTGTATATCTTGGGGTTCAGGTTAATTATAATGGAAGTTTTAAAAAGGCTATTTCAAAACAGGTATCACAGGCCAGGAAAGCCCTCTTCTCTATGTCATTAAAGGTTCAAAGACTCAAACTGCCACTGGATATTCAATGTGAATTGTTTGACCAACTTGTATTACCAATACTCATTTATGGATGTGAAGTGTGGGGATATGAAGATCTGAGTCAAATTGAAATATTCCATAGAAAATTTCTCAGGTCAGCGTTATGTGTAAATAAATTTACACCAGATTGTATGATATATGGAGAAACTGGGAGGGCATGGCTAGCTAACAGTATCAAACATCGAATGGTTAGTTTCTGGTTAAGAATAGTAAAAGGTTCTCCCTCTAAATATTCAGTCAAATTTTATTTTTTGCAAAGGTTAATTAGTCAGAATGTAGATATGTCTACTTCTTTCAAGTGGTTATCTTATATTGAAAAAATATTGAACCATGCTGGTCTTGGTATTGTTTGGCTAAAGCAAGGGGAAGGATTTAGCAATAGTTGGATACTGAGCACTCTGAAGTTGAGATTAAACGATATTTCAAAACAAGATGTGATGGCAACAATTTGGACAAACAGTGTGTGCCTAAATTATAGGATCTTTAAAGAGGATTGTCTCTTTGAAAGGTATTTAGTTTTGCTGAGTAAAAAAGATAGAATAACACTGAGCCGTTTTAGATGTAGGTCACACCGTTTACCAATTAATAATAACAGATTCAAAGAAGCTGTTAATGAAATTAGTATTGAATGCCCATGTTGTGATATGCATGAGTCTGGTAATGAATTCCATTATGTTTTTGTATGCCCTTTTTTCAGAAAGGAAAGAGAGTTATATTTAGGTCGCAAAGTAATAGTTAAACGCCCTTGCACATCACACATGTTGAATTTATTTTCATGTTCCGGTATAGGACAGCTGAAGAAATTAGTACTCTTCTTAAGGATAATAATGTCATATTTTGCTCGTCTATATACATGTAAATCTGAACAATCCAATCATATGTCGCCCATAAAAAGAAATGTTACAACCCGAAGTGGTAGGTTAATTAAGCAACCAACAATTCTTGATCTGTAGTACAGTCTTTCTTTAGGTCAAGTATAGTTTTGATGGTTTGTTTGTTCTTTTGTTCATTTTTTTTTTTTTTGTTAGTATACTTTTTGTTTTGTTTGTCTTATTACATTATATTCCATTATGTTTTTGTTTGTCCAATGGACGATTATGGCGTATTTTGTTAGTCTGCATATATCTTAACAATCCAATCACAACTCACTTACATGTACAAAAATGAAACTTATAATTTCTTTTTTAGTTAAGACAATAATGTATTTAAACAAAAAAAAATTGTAAAATTATTTTTTGTTTTTATCTTTTTTTTTCTTTGTGTTTGTATTTAGATTGTTCATGTGGTATTTTCCACTTTTCATGTATGCTTGCCATATTGTATAATATTGTATTTATGTTTAGCATAGGCTAGGTTTAGATCATTCCTATTTATCGTTATACTTTTATATTGTTGTTTTGTTGTATTCTGTATTCTTTGTATTATTAAGCTATGTTTGTATTCTTTATTATGTATCATTATCATGACATGTACATGTGTTGTACTCTCATACCCCAGAAGGGGGTCGAATGAGTCAATAAATTCTATTCTATTCTATTCTATTCTATAAAATCCGCCAAAACATGTTAATATTTTCACACACGACTACACGAGGGGTTTAGTGTTATACAGCTGAGTCCATTAATATTCCAGAAACTACAGCCCAAACCTTGCAACTAACCATTGTCACAACTAGGACCATCGAATCCAGGAGCACACATACAAGTATATGGGAGACATTACGACAAGGACTACTCGACTCGCATGGTAATTATTCAGTACAGAGTTGGGGAAAATGTTCTTAATTGTTAAGACGCTTCGAATTAATACCCGGGTATGTTTAATTTCGGAGCTCATTTATATTAACGCTATCATTTTCCTGAACTTTTATTGGACCTTTTAAACTCACTTCACATATAGACCGTGTGGGGAGAAATACCTGTGTTTTCGCAGTTCACTCCACCAAATCCTACAGGGCATAGACACGTGTAGCCATTGGCATCGCCTGAACAACTTCCACCATTCTGACATGGTGAAGAACTGCAAGCTTGGACTGTGGGATAAAACAAATCAAAAGAAATGTGTACAGCTTGTGTTACCAAAGTTGAAAGCTCTGGAAATTACAATTGGAAAAACAATTTGGTTTCTCTCTCTGTTTAAACTGGCATGCATCCCTTATAAACACTCTTCCACATGACAAATTCTAATAGTTCACATTGTAATTAATAGACTTCCTTTTTAACAATTACTCAACGATCTTCTTAAGGCACATTGACAAAAATAATATTTCCAATATACATACACGCAGACCTATACATGTATTTACATGTACATGTACATATGCAAATATGTATATGTATCATAGTTAGTGCTATACATGTTTAGTATACAAAGGGTAAGTGGGTAATTAGATCTGACCTTCACAGTTTGGTTGCGGAGTGCTACCAGGAGTACAAATACAAAAATACGATTGACTATTCTCCAGACATGTAGCTCCATTTCCGCAGGGGAAACTGTCACAAGGACTTGCATTTTCTGAAAGAATCACAAAGCATAAATAGGATATGCACAGAATCATTAACGAATATATCTACAATCTTAATCGAAAGACACTACAACAAGAGTCAGGAGTAGAAAAAAAATCCTCTACTGTCACCGAAAAAATCACCATCTCCACCACCGAATCCACCACACTACCTCCACTACAATCAACACTAACAATAGCAATACCACTACAGCCGTCACCAATAACAGTACAGCTGCCACCGTCACCATCACGAACTGTGAGTGTTGACCTTTGGTAAAGGTCATCTCATTCGTTGAATTAAGTTGGTTAAAGGTGAAATTCAAAAAAGATCACAAGATCATGAGTTGTCGGGAGTCGGCCACCGGTCCTAACTCTAGTGAGACTTCGCCTTAATGGCCCAAATTCACAACGGAGGTTTGTCTACAAAGCTAGGTTAATGTGCGTCATAATTATGACGCGTTTCGATGCGTTTCAATGCGCTTAGATGCGTTTCAGACCAAGGTTCAGACAAACCATTGTCTAAAACGCGTCACATAACGCCTCAGTTTGTCTACAAACTTCCTTGTGAATTCGGGCCATTTAGGTTTATCACTTGGTATAGAATATATGAGTAACATCATAGCAAAATACTACAATTTCTCCTTAAAAAAGAGCGAATTTTAAGGGCTCCTGTGCATGTTAGAGAGTTGGTGTTCTTAATGGTTATACTTACATTCAGTCTCACAATTAAATCCGGTATATCCTGTAGGACACCGACACAAGTATTCTGCTCTTTTCTAATAATATATAATATAATATAATATATAATAATATATAATAATAAATGATTCTTTCAGAAAATGCAAGTCCCTGTGACAGTTTCCCCTGCGGAAATGGAGCTACATGTCTGGAGAATAGTAAAAAAAGATCACAAATATGTCAACTAATGTATCACTAGAAACTGGTAAGCTAACAGATGGCCATCGGACAAGTTTTAGGTCAACTACATATCGGGTGATTTATACAAATACAAATACAACCACCTCCATAGCAGCTGGGATATACGATAAATTCGCCGGAAAAATAACGATGTTTTAATGACGTCACTATATGGACCAACACTGCCCAAGCAGACGATATCCAATAGAGAATGAACATAATTGCAAAGCTATTATTTCTCAAATTATAATGAGTTTAGTGTATATAAATGTAATGGCATGTCAAACCATTCAAAAGGGGTTATGACCCGATTCTGATAACTAAAATCTTTTGCTTGTAAATACACAGGATAGGGGTTAATTAACAATCAAAGAAACCAGACTTTCAAATTGTAAACCCCCCGGAATGATATTACGGACGGCATTTGTTCCCTTTGGTGTGTGCAGCTGAATATACAATGGGGTATTATTGTGTTTACAAGCGACAGATTCCTTTATATTTGTATCGCTGCATTTGTCATCAAAATAAAACCATGCGCGGGGTTAAGAGTGAGGCAATATATTATACATTTAGCTTGACGGTAGTGAAGTAAGAGAAAGAACTCAAGAGAATATGAAAACACAGGCACTGAAAATGTATGAGATGTCATGGGACATCGTCCGCTTGTGCAAGTCATGTCCATACTGTGATCTCACACATCTCAGCAGCATTCGGAGAGCTCTTCAGGTTCTATGCCGGGGCTGTATTTAAGCGTTTTGTAATTTATAATAATCATTACTTCGAATGTTTCCAAGCATTGAATTTTGATAACCTTGTCGAATCAAAGTTTCAACTTTGCAATAATGAAAATAAAGTTAGTTTTTAAAATCAATGAATATCTACTTTAATAAAATCCGCCATAATCTGCTAATATTTTCGCGCATGACTACACAAGGGGTTTAGTGTTATACAGCTGAGTCCATTAATATTCTAGAAATTCCAGCCCAAACCTTGCAACTAACCATTCTCACAACTAGGACCATCGAATCCGGGAACACACATACAAGTGTATGGCAGATCGTTCATTACGTCTTCGCTGTTTTGGCAGGTCGCTCCATTAGAACAAGGGCTACTCGACTCGCATGGTAATACTACAGCATAGAGTTGGGGAAAAACATTCTTAATTGTTAAGACGCTTCCAATTAATACCCGGGTAGGTCTACTTTCAGAGCTCATTTATATTGACGCTACCATTTTTCTGAACTTTTATTGGACCTTTTAAACTCTCTATACATTTGGACCGTCTGGGAGAAAAATAAAATTTTGTATTTTTTTTCCAGACTTTTGTAATCAAACAATGACAGAAAACGAATTCATCAAATCGATTTAGATCCAACCAGAAATGAGACAAGACAGCAATATTTAATGTCGATTTGATTTTGTTTTTCCTCTATCTGTGCTTAAGAAAATAATAGTGAGAAGTTATTTACGAGGAAACCTTCTGTCAACTGACGAAATAAATCAGTTACTGTTAGACTTCAAGATGAATATAGTTCTTAGTTTTTGACTAAACTTAACTTTGTCTTGTCTATTTCATTTACTTCTGTTATCAAAATTCTGATGCTTACAATGTATCATAATCGACAAAAATAAAGCATTAATACGATGACCACCGTTTCACTCCACCTTCATGGCACGTACTAACAAAATCAACTTCAGTTTAAGGCAAAATCTGCTCTCTATTACAATAAAATGGCTCAGCATAACTTACAACAAAAACTGTGAAATTATTCAAAGTACCTTCACAGTTTGTTCCTGTATACATGGATGGGCACTGGCATGTATAACCATTGGCTTCCTCCATACACGTACCACCATTTTGGCAGGGTGAAGAACTGCAATTTAGAACTAGAGAGGAATAAAAATTGTATGTATGATGGGGTTCTACGTTTGTGCATCAAACATTTTTGACTTGCAACTGGCAAATATTTTCTATCACATTCCTTCAATCCTTGATCTGATATTAAATACTATGCTTTACATTATACACCCCAAAGATTAAGCGTGATAACAATTTCACCAAAGTTCATGTCTGTGCACTTATTCATTGCACATGCTGTCTGGGATTCGACGTGAAAGATTACATCACGAGGCTTGTTAATTAACTTACTAAAATGTGACTTTTACGAAGTAGCCTTTACCACATACATCGACACATAGACACGCTTGCAAGAATGTAATTCTCTTTAAACGTCTCTCTATTACAATCACACGACTCAACATAAGTTAAATACATCAAATTGAATAATTTCAATGACGTGCCAATGTTCTCATGCAAGACTTTACACGATGGATATATCTTTGTTAGTTAAGAGCGAAATAGCTGAGACCATTAATATTCCAGCAGTTCAACCCAAAACCTTGCAACTAACCATTGTCACAAATAGGACCATTGAATCCAGTAGCACACATACAAGCGTATGGGAGGTCGTTCAACACGTCTTTGAAGTTATGGCAAGTCGCTCCATTAAGACAAGGACTAGATTCGCATGGTAATACTACAGTACAGAGTTAGGAAAAAAATGTTCTCAATTTTTAATACATTTCGAATTGATACTCGGGTATTTCTATTTTCAGAAGCTCATTTATATTGATGCTATCATTTTCCTGAACTTATTTATTTATTGGACCTTTTAAACTCACTGCACATATGGGCCGCCTGGGGAGAAAATATATATTTTTTTTTGACCAAAGCTTTCGTAATTAAACAATGACAGAAATCGAATTTAACAACTCAGGGGTAAGGCAAAATCTACTCTCTAATACAATTAAATGGCTCAGCTTAACTTACAACAAGACCTGTGAAATTACTAAGAATACCTTCACAGTTTGTTCCCATATACAATCGGCTTCATACACGTACACGAAGAACTGCATCTTAGAACTAGAGGGGAATCAAACTTGAGATATGATGAGGCGGGGGGGGGGGGGGGGGGGGGGGGCTACGTTTGTGCACCTTATATTTGACTTTAAACTGACAAAGATTTCTCTTTTGCTTTATCTAACATTATTTCTTGTAATAAAAAAAGTACCAATGCTAAAAAATGTGGTTACGTTCAAGGAAGTACAATATAATTCTCACAAGACAAGGTACCCATTACATTTGGACATTGCAAACGAAGAAAAAAAAAGTTTCTACGCACTCACTTCACCTTCTAATCAGGATTTACTGGCGTGATAGAGAATAGTTCGAGATTTGTGAATACAATTACTAAAATTTTTTTTTTTTCCTTCAAAATATATATTTGTAGACTCAATACTATATATGTGTTTTTGCTTTTCAGTCCTGTATACCCTATAGGACACTGGCATGTGTAGCCGTTTGCATCATCTGAACAAATTCCATCATTCTGACAGGGTGACGAATCGCAAGCTGGAAGTGTGTGGAATTATTCAAAAGAAATCTTACAGATCGCGTAAAAGCGGAAGGTGCTCAATATGAGAAGAAGTGTAGGGAAGGAATGTCGTCATGGCAGCAAAGTCAGTAACCCCTCGTAAGAGGGAAAATGCTGATTTTGATGATGATTCATTTAGACATGGCGAGAAAAAGAAACCCATGAGCACTCATTTCACTTGCTTTTTAAGATTTTCTGGGGTGAAAGAAAACAGCTCGAGATTTGTAAAATGAAATTACTAAAACTTGAATTTTCTCAAATATTAAAATCTCAATACAATACCTTTGTTTCCGCAGTTCACTCCATCAAATCCTACAGGGCATTGACATGTGTAGCCATTGGCATCACCTGAACAAGTTCCACCATTCTGACATGGTGAAGAACTGCATGCTTGGACTGTTGGATAAAAACAAATCAAAATAAATTTGTACAGGTTGTGGGACCAAATTTGAAAGCTCTGGAAATTACAATTGGAAAAACAATTTGTTTTCTCCCTCTGGTTAAACTGGCGAGCATCCCTTAAATACACCTCGTGCTGCACAAGCTTTCAGAAGCCAAATCCAAAGACGATAATTATTCCAACCAGGATATCACTGCAAATAGTTTCAAGCACGATTGATTTAACATCTTTTGAATAGTCTTTAAATGCTTTGAGCAAAAGCAACAACAAAATAATAATAATAATAATCTGGATCATATGTGATTTCACATTCTGTCCCTGCCTATCCTATAAGACATTTACATGTGAAGCTGTTTGAATCATCTGAACAACTTCCACCATTCTGACATGGTGACGAATCGCAAGCTGGTAGTGTGTGGAATTATTCAAAAGAAATCTTACAGATCGTGAAAAAGCAGAAGATGCTCAATATAAGAAGAAGTGTAGGGAGTTGAGTGTCAACACTGTGCCGTCATGGCACGAAAGTAGGTAACCCCTCATTGGATTAATTTGGACATGGCGAAAGAGAAAGAGATCCCATATATGATACTAAAGGTGTAAACCACACATGTCTTGTATTGTTATAAAATGTGATTCTTTCTTTTGATATGAAAAAAAAAAGAATGGTTGAAGAGTTTACTATTTGATTATAAAATGAAAAATAAAGGTGTAAACCGCACATGTCTTGTACTGTTATAAAATGTGATTCTTTCTTTTGATATGAAAAAAAGAATGATTGAAGAGTTTACTATTTGTTGACTATTGACTCCTATATGTGTCGAGAGTCGTAACCTCCTCTGCAATGTCTGGTAGGCCATTCCAGTCCCAAGTGATGGGTGGTAGGAATGATTACCCCTGGGTTGAGCTTTGACAAAATAAATCTTACTCAGTGTACACTTTGAAGTGGCAATCAATGATATGCTAGTTGAGTTGTGCTAATGTTTTTAAAAAAGTCTCTACCCCTCCTCCAACAAACTGAAACACTCATTTTCCATTCGACAGACATCAGCCTTTTTTGCTGTATAAAATAATCCTGTCTTCAAAGTTCTAAATTCTCGAGTAAAAAGTTTATGATTAATTCAGAAAGCAAAAGACATTTATTAAACATTTGAGGTACATGGTGCTTTATCATGAGTGATAGGGAGATGATTATTATTCAGAATGATGATTATTATTCAGGAAGCAAAAGACATTTATAAACAGGGATGATACACAACATATGAGCCTCCTTGTGATCTGATGATAAGATATTCAAAACATGAACTAACAGGAAAATGAAGAAGAGTTAGGGATGACAATGACTAAAGCATGCAAACTTTCCTTCGAAGGCAGTGGTGTGGAAGCTGTACAATATCTCCACTAGGTTGCAAGAATGCAATGAATCATATGAGGCACATCGTGCTTTATCATGAACGATAGGGAGATTACTGTATGAACATGAAAAGGAGTTAAAGTACATTTGTATAATTGTTCTCTTTATATAAAATCAAAATCAAAATAAAATATACATAATTATATGCAAACAAAGAAACAGAAACAAATGAATATTATCCTCCACCTTCAAAGCGCCAGCATTTGATGTCATGCCCGTTAAGTTCATTAGATATATCCAATCCCTCTACATGTATACAAGTATTTGCTGCTTAATGGTCAATAACAGAGTGAAATTAATGAGATAATGATTTAATGCGGTGATACTTCTCAAATTTCAAATATCAAAATCAAAAGTAAATTAGGAAAAAGGAATTCTCAAAGAAAACACGGTGCTTAAAGGGACAGTAACTAAATAGGTTCGTTTGTTCGGCCTGATCATAAAAAAAAACATTCGCAAGAAGCTTTGGAGCGCTGGACACGTATTCTAAAATACATAATGTCTGTGATCAAGTGGACAAGACGTTAGAGGTGGTTGAGGTATATGGGTACCTCGCAGAAGTTGATTTCCTTAAAAAGTAGTCATGCAATTATAGTGCGGTGCAGGCGCGTACGCAGAGGGGGGGGGGGGGGGGGGGTTAAACCTCCCTTTGGTATTTTTTTTTAAAATAATAAAAAATAATAAAAATAAAAAATGTGACCTTACCCCCCCCCCCCCAACGGAGCAAAATGTCAATTTTTCAAATTTCGAGACCCCCCCCCAAAAAAAGTGTCCTCTTACACCCCCCCCCCCCGCTTATTCAGCGGCCGGCTGAGTCGTTGCGAAATTTTCAGCTCGATTTAAAAATGTTAACCCCCCCCCCCTTGAAAAAATCCTGCGTACGCGCCTGGTGCGGTGTCACGACTGTCAAGCATGACAGACATAAGCTCAATACACCAAACACTATTTTCTTCCATCAGCTGCTCCGCCTTCTTCGTCTTCATATTCTTCTTTTTTTCGTCCCTTCTCCTTTACTTTTCATTATTGTTATTAATATAAAAGCAATATAAAACAAACTGTTATATTTTCCGATTGAAAAGACAAGATGAAAAATTACCACCACCCGAATACCAGCACCACAACCACCACACCACAACACCTACAGAGGCCTAACCATACTGAGGTCCCTGCAATGAATCACCTTTAGAGAACAAGAACTTCAAGACGAATATGCTGGAAGTTCCATGTTTATGCAATAACAGAACTACCATTCATTGTAGGTCTTCAATAACAAGGGAAACTAGAGTATTGCTTGAGCCACTTGTAAACGGCCAACATGAGCAGAAAATTAAAACCTCTACTGTCACCGCAAATACCACCACCACCACCACCACCGAAGGCACAACCACTACCTACACTACAATCAAAACTAACAATACCAATACCCCCACAGCCACCATCGTCACCAGTACAGCTGCCACCGTCACCATCCCGAACTATGATTGTTGACTCTTGGTAAAGGTCATCTCATTCTTTGAATTAAGTTGGTTAATAAAATCCGCCATAATATGTTAATATTCTCACGCAAGACTACACGAGAGGTTTAGTGTTATACAGCCATTAATAGTCCATTAATATTCCAGAAATTCCTGCCAAAACCTTGCAACTAACCATTGTCACAAATAGGACCATCGAATCCGGGAGCACACATACAAGTGTATGGGGGATCGTTCATTACATCTTCGATGTTTTGGCAGGTCGCTCCATTCAGACAAGGACTACTCGACTCGCATGGTAATACTAAAGTACAGAGTGGGGAAAAATGTTCTTAATTGTTAAAGACGCTTCGAACTAATACCCGGGTATGTCTAATTTCAGAGCTCATTTATATCATTTTCCAGAACTTTTATTGGACCTTTAAACTCACTTCACATATGAACCATCCGGGGAGAAAAATAAGATTGTATTTTTGTAAACCAAACTTTTGTAATCAAACAATGACAGAAAACGAATTCACCAAATCGATTTACGTCCAACCAGAAGTGGGACAAGACAGCAATATTTAATGTTGATTTGATTTTGTTTTTCCCTTTATCTGTGCTTATGAAAACAATAGTGAGAACTTATTTCCGAGGAAATATTCTGTCAACTGAAGGAATAACTCAAGATGAATATAGTTCTTAGTTTTTGACTAAATTTAACTTCGTCCTGTCTATTTCCATTCACTTTTGTTATCAACATTCTGATGCTTACAATGTATCATAATTGACGAGAATAAAGCATTAACAAGATTACCACCATGGCACTCCACCTTCATTGCACGTACGAACAAAATCAACTCCGGTTTAAGGCAAAATCTGCTCTATATTACAATAAAATGGCTCAGCATAACTTACAACAAAAACTTTGAAATTATTTAGTGTACCTTCACAGTTTGTTCCTGTATACATGGATGGGCACTGGCATGTATAACCATTAGCTTCCTCCATACACGTACCACCATTTTGGCAGGGTGAAGAACTGCAATCTAGAACTAGAGGGGAATAAAACTTGTATGTATGATGGGGGTTCTACGTTTGTGCATCAAACATTTTTGACTTGCAACTGGCAAATATTTTCTATCACATTCCTCAAATCCTTGATCTGATATTAACGACCATGCTTTACATTATACACCCCAAAGATTAAGCGTGCTAACATTTTCACCGAAGATCATATCTTTGCACTTATTCATTGCACAATTGTTGTCTGGGATTCGACGTGAAAGATTACATCTCGAGGATTGTGAATTAACTAACTAAATTGTGACTTTTACGAAGTAGCCTTTACCACATACATCGACATATAGACACGCTTGCAAGAATGTAATTCTCTTTAAACGTCTCTCTATTACAATCACACGACTCAAAATAAGTTAAATACATCAAATTGAATAATTTCAATGACGTTCCAATGTTCTTATGCAAGACTACACACGACGGGTATATCTTTGTTAGTTAAGAGCGAAATAGCTGAGAGTGTTAATATTCCAGAAGTTCAACCCAAAACCTTGCAACTAACCATTCTCACAACTAGGACCATTGAATCCAGGAGCACACATACACGAGTATGGGAGGTCGATCAACACGTCTGCGAAGTTATGGCAAGTCGCTCCATTAAGACAAGGACTAGATTCGCATGGTAATACTACAGTACAGAGTTGGGAAAAAAATTGGGAAATTGGGAAATTGGGAAAGTCATTTTGAATTGATACCCGGGTATGTCTAATTTCAGAAGCTCATTTATATTGATGCTATCATTTTCCTGAACTTTTATTGGACCTTTTAAACTCACTACACATATAGACCGTCTGGGGAGAAAATAAGATTCTATTTTTTTTTGACCGAAGGTTTCGTAATCAAACAATGACAGAAATCAAATTTAACAAATCGATTTATGTCCGACCAGAAGTCAGAAGTGAGACATGACAGCAATATTTGATGTTGATTTGATTTTGTTTTTAGTGAGACATTTTTCCTTATGAAACATTTTATCAACTGACGAAATAACTCAGTTACTGTTAGACTTCAAGATGAACATAGTTCTTAGTTAAGGACCAAACTTAACTTCGTCCTGTTTATTTCTATTACTTTTGTTATTAACATTCTGATGCTATCAATATATTATACTTGTTGAAAAATAACAGCATCTACATGATGACCACCGTGGCACTCACGTGGCACTCATGGCACGTACGAACAAAGTCAACTCCGGTTTAAGGCAAAATCTACTCTCTATTTAAAATGGCTTAGCATAACTTACGACAAGATTGACACTGGCATGTATAACCATTGGCATCCTCCGTACACGTACCACCATTTTCGCAGGGTAAAGAACTGCATGTTAGAACTAGAGGGGAATTATACTTGAGATATGATGGGGCGGGGGGAGCTACGTCTGCGCACCTTACATTTGACTTTAGACTTTACAATGACAAAGATTTCTCTTTTGTTTTATCTAATATTATTCCTTGTAATAAAAAGAGTACACATGCTAAAAACTGTGCTTACGTTCAAAGAAGAACAATATCATTTTTAAAAGATAAGGCACCCTTTACATTTGGACATTTCAAAAGAAACCCGTGCCTGCGGCACTCATTTCACCTGCTATTCGGGATTTTCTGACGTGATAAAGAATAGCTCGATACTCGAATCGCAAGTTGGAAGTGTGTGAAATTATTCAAAAGAAATCATACAGATTGCGTACAAGCGGAAGATGCTCAATATAAGAAGAAGTGTAGGGAGGGAGTGTCGTCATGGCAGGAAAGTTAGTAACCCCTCGTAAGAGGATAAATGCTGACTTTGATATATGATGATTCATTGGGACATAGCGAGGAAAAGAAACCTATGTGCACTCATTTCACTTGCTATTTAAGATTCTCTGGCGTGAGAGAAAACAGCTCGAGACTTGCGAATAAAATTACTAAAACTTGAATGTTCTCAAATATCTTAAGACTCAATATAATACCTGTGTTCTCGCAGTTCACTCCATCAAATCCTGCAGGGCATTGACATGTGTAGCTATTGGCATCACCTGAACAAGTTCCACCATTCTGACATGGTGACGAATCGCAAGCTAGGACTGTGGGATTTAAACAAATCACAAGAAATGTGTACAGGTTGTGGGACCAAAGTTGAAAGCTCTGGAAATTACAACAGGAAAAACAATTTGGTTTCTCCCTCTGTTTAAATTGGCATGCATCCCTTAAATACACCACGTGCTGCACACGCTATTAGAAGCCAAAGCCAAAGACGATAATTATTTCAACCAGGATATCACTGCAAATTAATTTCAAGCACAATTGATTTATAATGTTTTTGAACAGTCTTTAAATGCTTTGAGCAAAAGCACAATTATCATTTAAAAAATAATCTTGAAAATAGGTGATTTTCACAGTATCTTCCTGCATATCCTGTAGGACATTTACATGTGTAGCTGTTTGAATCATCTGAATAACTTCCACCATTCTGACGTGGTGACGAATCGCAAGTTAGAAGTGTGTGAAATTATTCAAACAAAATCTTACAAATCGCGTACAAGTGGAAGATGCTCAATATAAGGAGAAGTGTAGGGAGGGACTGTCGTAATGGCAGAAAAGTTTTGTTTTGTCATGTCTTGTCTTATCTTTTTATGTAATTTTCCTGTCCTTTGTGTCCCGTTTCGTCATTCTTTTCTTTTTGTATTTTTTGTTGTTGATTATTTAGATACTTTAAAATGGTTTACGAAAATATGTTATTATATTATATCTATTTTATGTGATTATTAAGACACTTTAAAATGATTTATGATAATAATGTTCATATTATATTCATTCTTGGGAACCTACAAAAACAAGCTATGCTTTCCGGTAGGTTCCTGTTTCATTTCATAATTTTGATCTTACTTTGTCAACTATATTCTTTATTGTGCAAAGAATTGTTATATAAAATGAATAAATAAAATCGATCAAACAATCAATCAAGTTAGTAACACCTCATTAGATTCATGTGGGCATGACGATACACAAATCCATGACTGTGCACTAATTTCACATGATATCCGGAATTTTCTGTTGTGAAAGAAAACAGTTTGAGACTTGTGAATAGAATTACTAAAACTTGAATTTTCTCAAATATTTAAAGACTCAATACAATACCTGTGTTTTCACAGTTCACTCCATCAAATCCTGCAGGGCATTGACATGTGTAGCCATTGGCATCACCTGAACAAGTTCCATCATTCTGACATGGTGACGAATCGCAAGCTGGAAGTGTGTGAAATAAACAAATCAAAAGAAATGTGCACAGGTTGTGGGACCAAAGTTGAAAGCTCTGGAAATTACGATTGGAAAAACAATTTGGTTTCTCCCTCTGTTTAAACTGGCATACATCCCTTAAATACACCATTTGCTGCACCAACTCTCAGAAGACAAATCCAAAACGATAATTATTTCAACCAGGATATCACTGCAAATTAGTTTCAAGCATGATTGGTTTATAATGCTTTTGAACAGTCTTTAAATGCTTTGAGCAAAAGCAACAACAAAATAATTATAATCTGGATCATGTGTGATTTGACAGTCTGTCCCTGCCTATCCTATAGGACATTTACATGTGTAGCTGTTTGAATCATCTGAACAACTTCCATAATTTTGACATGGTGACGAATCGCAAGTTGGAAGTGTGTGAAATTATTCAAAAGAAATCTTATAGATCGTTAAAAAGCGGAAGATGCTCAATATAAGAAGAAGTGTAGGGAGGGAGGATCAACACTGTGCCGTCATGGCACGAAAGTCAGTAACCCCTCATTGGATTCATTTAGACATGGCGAAAGAGAAAGAAATCCCATGTCTGTGCACTAATTTCACATGCTATCCGGGATTTTCTGATGTGAAAGAAAACAGTTCGAAACTTGCGAATTAAATTACTAAAACTTGAATTTCTCAAATATCTTAAGACTCAATACAATACCTGTGATTTGGCAGTTCACTCCATTATATCCTACAGGGCATTGGCACGTGTAGCCATTGGCATCACTTGAACAAGTTCCACTATTCTGACATGGTAAAGAACTGCAAGCTTGGACTGTGGGATAAACAAAAATCTAAATAAATTTGTACAGGTTGTGGGACCAAAGTTGAAAGCTCTGGAAATTGCAACAGGAAAAAATGGTTTCTTCCTCTGTTTAAACTGGCATGCATCCCTTAAATACATCATGTGCTGCACACGCTATCAGAAGCCAAAGACGAAAATTATTTCAACCATTTCAAGCACAATTGTTTTATAATACCTATGAACAATCTTTTAATGCTTTGACCAAATACAAACAAATAACTTATACCCAGATTATATGTGACTTAACAGTCTGTTCCTGCATATATCTTGCAGAAAATTTACATGTGTAGTCGTGTGAATCATATGAATAACCTCCACCAGTTTCATATGGTGAAGAATTGCAAGTGGGAACTGTGAGCATTGATTAAAAGAAAGACATTTTACAGATCGTGTTTTAAAGCTACAAAATATATAGAAATGTATTTAAAAACATCCTCCAAACTGACAATAAGTGAAATTCTGTGATTTTCTTCCACATGACAAATTCCAATAGTTCACAATGTACTTAATAAACTTCATGTTAACAATTACTCAACGATCTTCTTAAGGCACACTGAAAAAATAATATTTCCAATATATATATATATATATACACGCAGGCCTATATACGGTATGTATTTAAATGTACATGTTTATGTATAGATATATGTGTATCGTTTTCACATAGCTAGTGATATACATGTTTAGAATAAAAAAAGGGTTAGTGGGTAATTAGATCTGACCTTCACAGTTTAGTTGCGGAATGCCACCAGGAGTACAAATACAGAAATACGATTGACCACCCCCAGTCCCGCTCTGCAGACAAGTCGATCCATTTCCGCAGGGGGAATTGTCACAGGGACTTACAGAGTCTGAAAGAATCACAAAGCATGAATAGGATGTGCACAGAATCATTAACGAATATCTCTACAATCTTAATCGAAAGACACTACAACAAGAGTCAGGAGAAGGTTCATGCATCAGTGTTTATGCCGAGTTTGTAAGCAATAAGATGTTTAATAAGTTTTGATTTTGAGTAGTAATAGTAAAGTACTTTTCTTCTTTCTAATAAGCCTTTTTTCAGCCTGTCTCCTTTGTCATTTAATAGTCATGGTCGATGCAGTTCACTTTTAAGACTCAATACAATACCTGTGTTTCCGCAGATCACTCCATTATATCCTACAGGGCATTGGCATGTATAACCATTGGCATCACCTGAACAAGTTCCACCATTCAGACATGGTGAAGAACTGCAAGCTTGGACTGTGGGATAAAACAAATCAAAATAAATTTGTACAGGTTGTGGGACCAAAGTTGAAAGCTCTGGAAGCTACGATCGGAAAAAACAATTTGGTTTCTCCCTCTGTTTGAACGGTCATGCATCCCTTAAATACACCATGTGATGCATAAGCTATCAGAAGCCAAAGCAAAAATACGAAAATTATTTCAACCAGGAAATCACTGCAATTTAATTTCAAGCACAATTGTTTTATAATATTTTAAACAATCTTTTAATGCTTTGACCAAAAGCAAACAAGTAGCAAATACCCGGATTATATGTGATTTGCATATCTCTTGCAGGACATTTACATGGATTGCGTAGTTGTGTGAATCATCTGAAGAACTTCCACCAGTTTCATATGGTCTTTCTAATAAGCCTTTTCTCAGCCTGTCTTCAATATGTCTCAAGTTTCTTTGTTACGTAATAGTCACGGTCGATGCAGTTTACTCCTTAATACAATATTTACCTATAATCGATGTTTGTAGCCTATATGTGCGTATTACCACAAGTCAACACAAATACTTGTTCAATAATCGCAGTGAGAAAGTGAATAAAACTATCTTTGATGTATATTATGTGCGCACAACAATAACTACCACTGAGATACAGATATAAGAAAATAATTTGATCAGGCTAACCTGGAATTTCGCATCTGTCTCCAATATATCCCTCAGGGCATTGACAATTGAACCCAGTGGTGTCATCAATACATGTTCCACCGTTTTGACAAGTTGATGGCGTGCATTCTATAAAAATATCACAATACAAAAAATTAATCATCAATAAGAGATTGGGTTTTTTTCTTAATTTATCGAATGCCCAAATAACGGATTTTGACGGGAATAGTACAAATATGTATATTTTCATTTATCGATTTTAGAAGGAAAAAAGAGGACGCTAGGGGAACCCTCAGCGAAGATTACTATATTCCGATGTGCCTTTTGTAATCTTTTGTGATTGGTAAGTCGCTGATCTGGAAAAAAGTTTGAATTTTGAACATGAAGATCCCTTCCCTAAAGCCGAAGTCACACTAGGAGTACGATCGGTTGCCGACTTCTGACAACCCTAAAAAGCTGCGACCGTCGACAATCGATTTAGAATAAATAAAATAGAGGGGGAGGGGAGGGGGTTGAGGGAAAATGCTAACAATGGCAGCGACAAGGATAATGGAAAATCCGCGTGCATTTTCAGTTAACCGATAACAGTTAGAAGCAGTAGGAAATGTAAATAGAATAAGGGCGTACATAGTATGGAAGGGGAGGGGAAACTGTTTTTGACAAGGGAGAGCATAAATCATTAATCAGTTTGAAAACTGTCGCTAATTGTTGGAAAAACAACAACAACTTTTCCATGACCAGTTTGGTGTTGGTGTTCTCATTGGCTATACTTACTTTCAGTCTCACAGACTAATCCTGTAAAATTGGTAGGACACTGACAAATATAATTTGCGCCGAACCCACTCTCAAAACATGTTCCACCATTTTGACACGGCGAACTTTCACATGTAGTTGCTGTTATAAAAAAGAAAAAGAAACAAACAAAATAGTGGTCGTTGAATGCGTGGGAAATACATCTCAACAATATTTATTTCTCAAGCAGTGAGAGGGATTCACTTTTCATACATATTACTTGATAACCGTCAGGTCTGAGATTTTGTTCTTGCAATAGAGTAAACAGTTATCACCACTTGCTTTTAGTACTATTAATGGAAGCAAGTTTTTTTTTTGCCATCCTGAAGATATACTGTTTCTATCTAGCTACATTATTTAACGGAGCATAGGAACACCCACACACAAACAAAATTAATTTTAGAATATGAAAATGTTAATAAGGTTCATAAGGTTCATATTTATTGTCCATTTGATAATGGAAATTCATCGTGTTACATGGTCTTGCGATTCACATATATTTAACATAATATACTCATACAAAGTATTATGTACTGAGAGCAGAACAAAGCAGTATGCTGAAAAAAAACTGCTTAATTTGCAATTGTCATTAGGGAGTGGGGCAAAGTAGTTTATACCCTTGATAGCATCTGTCACTTATCACTACTGATGTATACAGGGTTTCTAAAACGTTGAAAACGTGTATTGATATTCGAGTAAGCATACCGACCGAGCTAGAAAAAACACGTTATATTTGAAATGTTATAAGCTGTCATGGTAGAGCAGAGTAAAGCTTATCATACACCATTTAAACTGCAGTATTATATATGTAATATGGAGGGGGAGGGGATATGATGCCCCTGCCCCCTTCCAGCAATGTTTTCGAGAACCCAACACGTACCTCTTTCGCATTGTGGGCCTGCGTACCCCCCAGGGCATTCACACACAAGATCCCCGTTTTGGTTGAACGCACATGTTCCTCCGTTCTGGCAAGGATCGCGCAAACATCCTGTTAACTCTAAATGATAGAGAAAATAGAAAATAAAAAGAAGGAACACGTTTGAATGAGAATAATAATGAATATGATAATAATAAGAACAATTATGATGATAATAATAATGATTATAAAGATCATAATAATAATAACAGTAATAATTATAACAATTGTAATTATAATAATGATTAAACAAATATTAATAATATGCATTTGTAGATGGATAGAAGATGGAAAAATCATTTGTCCATTTTCTGTATTAGCAGTATCTGAAAGTTGGTTCAAAGATGATGAAGGTGTATGCATAAATGCTTATCGATTCGTTGGTAAAACGAGAGGCGAGAAACGTAATGGAGGAGTTGGTTGTTATATAAAGAACAGCTTAAACTTCCGAAGGCATCCAGTATTGAGCTTTTTAATTATTGTATTGACGTATTGAATTATTGAAGTATTTGTCAATATAAAATAATTGCCATCCCATATGGACCACCCGCTCAATCAGATCCTGATTCATTAAATGCCAAAACAAACAAATATTAACGATAATACCTACCTACAATACATCGAGGTAGCTGGAAGAATTCCGGACAATCGCATGCATAGATGCCCGATTGCAACATACATGTACCACCATTAACACACGAGTTATCTGGTGACCGACAGTCAGTAATATCTGAAAAATGAGTTAATTATGTTAGCCAGTATCTACAATTATGATATTACTGAATCTCGCACTACAAAATACATTATGATTATCAAGTCGAATGGGTAGCGTGGTTACGGCTAATGAGGGGGCACTGATATCATGGGGGGGGGGGGTGAGGTGTCACCAAAGCTTCCATGGATGGGATAAGATGCTAGAGAACAGGACCATAGTGTGAGGGGAGGGTGTGGAGAGGAGTTGCATCATATTTTCATTTTAACTCCCCCCTCACCACCCCTCTCTCTCTCTCTCTTCCTTTCTCTCTCCCATTCCCCCTCTCCCCCTTCACCCTCCTTATCTCCCCTTTCTATCTCTCTCCCCCTCTCTCTCTCAATCTCTCTGTGAAGCGCATGATACCCTGATTCGTCTGATCTTTCAAAAGAGATTTATAATGTACGAGAAACAATAATATAGATTGCATACTTGTCTGTTGTAATGCAATCCATAATTATTGTTTTCTGAAGATTTCAATTTCTTATTATATTCCGCGTTTATAAAGCGCAAAATACATCGGCGATGTCTCTTAGCGCTTTACAGATATAATATCGCCTGGTCATCGGATTTAGGTTTACCCGCACACAATGAATGCGCATTCTCCACTCCATGGGGAGCATTCTAGCCAGGCCCCTGTTATCGACGCACACAATGCTGAGCAAACTACATCAACGCGACGATAATGCCGGGTTGGGATTTGGTATCCCATACCTTGTGATCTACAGTCCGGTGACTTATCCACTAGACCACAATACCTCTTCAAGTTTTCCAATCTTCAGATGCGCTGCCTTTAACATAGATCTACGCTGTATTAATTTCAAAGCTATATTTAAGCCACTACACGAATCTATCAAATGTCATCTTAGCACTAATTTTGTAAAAGCCTAAATGCCAGATTTTACACCTCAGTTTGCCAACCAATTTGAGTCATCTTTCAAGTGCTCAAGCGCTCTGCAGTCAGTTCTTTCATTATCTGAAATTCCAGATGTTTGTGTGTATCAGTAATGAACTCAGAACACACACAAAACACTCATCAATGAATCTCACGTGTGATGTCATTCCATACAATAGTTTGGAACCAGAGCAACACCTAATCAAATATTCCAAAATGTGTAAATTATCAACTTTAAGAAATGATTATTCTAACCTTCTCCAAATATAACATTTACAAAGTTTTCTATAGGCCAACTTCGGTTTGATACGAGCGTTACATTAATATAAAAAGTGTCCATTTGTTTTGGAAACCTATTATAAACACGATCGCAAATACATTACGAAACTCAACCTCGGAAAATGATTATCAATAATTTTGAGCGTCACCTTTTAAAATGTGTGAACAATACAATAAATACGTTTTACATATTCATAAATGATATCAATGGGATATAGAATAAGGTATTAATATTTCCCTCGAGTTGATTTCTTGAAGGTTTTTGCGATTGTGTTTAAGGTACTCTTCAGAAATATTTACCTATACCACACTGGTCCCCCTCAAAAAGAGGAGTACATTGGCATTGGTACGAGGTTAGCACCAGGGCACAAGTTCCACCATTCTGGCAAGGCAAATTATTCGTACAGTCTGGTGTTACTACAAAGAAGAGGGGGCGAAGCGAATGTTAGTCAATTATGTCAAGTTAAAGTGTTGTATATTAAAGCACAGAGAAACAAATCCTAGGTAGAAGCACTTTACTAAAATCTTAGATATTACAAATATTAAACCACAGTCATTTTGGGGGTAATGCAAATGTTCGTTTGGTCGCTGTCGGACTGGTGTCGGTCAGGTTGGTATGACTAGGGTATAACAGCATAGCAGCTCTAATTGCATTTCCATTCTGTCAAAATTAAGCCACTTAATCCCGTATCTCTCTGCACACACTCTGCGTAAATCACATTCTTATTGGATTAAGAAAATACAAGTGCTCCGTTAACGTCGAAATTTGATTGCTTCCTACAGCCGTATTATTTTAGGATTACAGCAAAGTAAGTATGCGATTCTTTTCGTTTTCACGATGTGAATCGTCATGTTGATTGAGTTGACTGAAAATTCATTTTTATTTCTGTATTTCTGTAAGCAATGGTTCAATTTCTTCAAAATTACTAATTACTACAGCAAGCACTTATAAAGTAGAAGAAGGCGATTAAACATTTTGATTATATGCTGTACATATATATTATTTTTCTTTTCTAGTGAAATTGATTAATATTACAGATAAAATAGGTCACAATAGCGTTTAGTGCCGGTTAATCTGCTGCAAGTCGACATACGACAAAAACACAAAGATGTTATTATGAAATACGATTCACATCCAAATCCAGAATACGTAAAGGTGTGACATTGACAAACACGGTTATACATTAAGCATTAAAATGTCATTTGAGAGACATAGCATCCCCTAACATATCACGTTTAAACGAAAAAGTATACAAAGTAACAACATTTCCTGCATACTATGGATATGTGTATTTTTTTAAAATTTATGTTAAAGATAGAAATGTAGATAGTTAAAGTTTCTTCATTTTGACTAATCGATAACGAATGAACACCACAACATGAAACAGTATCGTCAACTTTGTTTGGATTGTATATTTGTACCATTTCATGACACAGAAGCTCAATGCACAAATCACTGCCCTTAACATAAACTACATACAAAACTGTTCATAGATGATTCTTAAAATAATTAGCAATTTTCTAGGTGTAAACTTTTATTGGACTCACACTGTATATAAGATAGCAATTTCGATCAGATATTTTTTACTGCATTGCCTTTTGGATTAAGAGTGTCAATTTCCGTGTCCCTAAATCCCGGGGGAAAATCTGCTGTTTTCTAAGGAAGCACCAAAGCACTTTTGGTTGATGTAATAATTCATCCGATTATCTTGATACATTTTTTTTCTATGTAGCCAAAAGGACCATGTTCCGAGATTTAATAATGAGCTACAAATGACAAAAATGGGTACTTTTCAACAGGATACGAAGACTAGTTTTAGATGAGACATACTTAAGCTTTTTATCGCACCCTGCGAGTAAATAAAACGCAAGAATTAACAAAAGGCTGATATCAGCAACATCAACGAAAGAGGTGGTGAAATACGGATGGCGAAAACAGCTTAAGTATATTTATTTCAAAGCCATTATTTTACTTTGTAGTGCTAACATTGATTGCTACATATTTTGAACGATATACGAACTTAGGTTGCATGTTGTTCCAGTGTAAGGTGACACACACTGGCAAGTGAAGGAAGAGAAGTCATCTGCTGCATTACACTGCCCGCCGGATTGACACGGGGTTGAGAGACATGGGTTCACTGTATTAAGTGAAAAAGCAATCGTCAACATTTAACAACAAATACTTAAAAGAAAAGAAATAGACAGACAAATGCGGTTTCCCTCTTTTAACG